ATTGCTTTATCCACAGCCCAAATCTCTGGAAATTGATTGGAAATTCTGTGCTCTCGGTGGGAGGGGTCACAGCTCAGTGGCACCGTATTCTGCACACAGAATACCCCAGGTTATTTCCCTGGAATTTCCCATCAAAAGGATTTCATGTAGAGATTCACCGAAATGTCCTCCATCCTAGATTTCACGTGTTAGAATAACTGGGTATGCCCTCGACACATGTTCCAGAAGCCTTGTTGCAGACTGGCAGCCAGCAAGAGGCAAAATAAGAGAATGAGTCATTTGTCCCCTAATTCCAAGCACTTCTGGAATTAGAAGAAGAAGAGATTGGATTTATATCCCACCCTTCACTACCCGAAGGAGTCTCAGAGCGGCTTAATATCTCCTTTCCCTTCCCCTCCCCGCAACAGATACCCTGTGAGGGAGGTTACATAGGGCTGAGAGAGCTCTTTCAAGAACTGCCCTAGAGAGAAAAGCTCTGAGAGAACTGTGACTGACCCAAGGTCCCTGGACATGAGAGAGAAGGAGAGTCTTCTGTTATTTTGTTTTAAACCACGAAGGATTAAGACGCTTTGTTTTATGAGGACAGAGACTTGGGGAAGCCAACACCTAGACTGTATTTCTTACTTGGGGGGGGGGGAACAGGAAAAGGAAACACTAACACAGAAAGGACTGGGCAAAGGGAAATCATAAATTCCCTGGATATGAGAAAGAAGGAGAGTCTTTTGTCATCTTGTCTTAAGCCATGGAGGACTAGGACAGGCTTTTTTGTATCCGAATGCCATCTTGACCACATGGCGAGGGACATTGGGGAGAGAATTAATGGGTGATTCTTTAATGCTGCAATGCCAAGAGTAAACACCCTGTTCTAACAACAACAACTTCGTTCAGGGTATGTCTAGAGTTTAGGGTTAGAAGACTGAACGTTATCACCCTTTCTTTATATCCTTGTTCTGTCAGATGCTTTTCCTAACCACGTGTGTGTGCTTTCTATTTTGTCATTAAGGTTCTTTATATATATATATATTTTAAAGAAACAATTTTTATTAGGATATAGTAATAAGTAAAATTATACATCATTAAGAATGTAATAGAGATTTGAGCACTGTGGGAAGTCAGAAGGGGGGAGATATTTGGATAAAAGGATATGAAAAGAAGGTTCTTTATATTTTGAATGCTCAGAGTGTCCCACCTGAGACCTGGGCTGGCAGCAGAATTGTCTGAGCTCCTGGAATAAAGGGAAAGGGGCTTGCAAGATCACTTCCTAATAGTTAGTGTAGAGGATACTTGGCTAGATGGGAACACTGAATTTATCAGCAGTATTTCATGTCTCTGGAGATCTGGAGGCAGGATTAAATCAACTAGACTGATTTATTAAGAAATATATATATGTCATCTCTTGCATCCCTGCTTGAGGCAGCTCACAATGTAAATTGTAAAAATAACCACCATAAAATTACCAATATTAAAAGCCATAAAAACAATATTCAGCAGCGAAAAATTATGTTTCCCAAGCCTGGGGACTAAGCTTTATCATTCTCACAGCACTCTGAGAAAGCAATCACTCTCTGCTGCTGGATATGTGGACAACTGGTTTTCTAGCAGAATGTAGTGCTCCTCTTTGATGGGCAGGCCTGTAGCTATGGAGGGGTTTTTGGAGGTTTTGCCCCCTTTCTTAAAGGGGCAGCCCCACAAGAATTTCTCCTGTAAATGCTGTTTTCAACCATTTAAAAACATTTTTAAGGCGTGCACTCCTTTAAGCAGAGTGGGGTGCTGTAGCTGACTGATTCCTGCATTGAGCAAGGAGGTTGGAGTAGGTGACCTCTAGGATCCCTTCTAAATCTGTGTCAACTTGGTCTCCTTCAAGAGAGTTTTTCTGCCTGTTAGCTTTCTTGACTATAGAAATCATCACACACACACACCTTCCAGATTGTTATCAGAACTGTTGCTTAAGCTGGCAGAAGTGATTAACTTGCAGCAGCTGTCATCTAAAGTGGTTGACAGCTTGCATTTTAGAGATCTATCCTGGTAACAGCTTTCTATTGGTTAAATGGCTTTTCTTTCTGCACTGAGAGCTTCAGCCCCCCCCCCCGGAAAAAAATTTGCCCCACAAGTCACAAAACCCTGGCTACAGGCCTCTCAATGGGGTATGATACATTTCCCTCTTTCTTTCCCTGCTAGCTAGTCAGTCCAAGGGAGGAAGGAGGAAATTGTTCAGGAACACTTTTAAAAGCTTGCAAAAGCCAAGTGGAAACATCTAGGGTGAGATGCTGAGAGCAAAACATCTTCCTTCCCCCTACCAAATGCAGGATGCAAACTGGTAAGGGAGACTCCCCAACTAGAGGATGCCCAACGTCTGGTTTGATCAGTCCTGCCTCCAGAGTCCGATGGGAGAAGATACCCTTTCCCAGGACCGACAGTCTCATTCAGACAGCTTCAACAAGTAAAAACAAAAGAATGGGAGCCCGGATGAAGCAATGCTCCACCAACCAGTATATTTTTCCCCAAGGAGAGAAACTGACCATACCTCTCGGCCCACTGCACACTCGCACCAAGGCAAGGGTTCGTGTTGCGGAGCAGATCTTGTTTGCCAGCACTGATCATTCCTTGTAATATAGCAAATATCACATGACAAATCACTTAACAATCACCCCTGGCAATAACACCAACGCTGTATGAAGACCACCCTAATATATAAAGAGAAGGCTTGGCAGGTTCCTTGAATGTGGAGTCAGCTCAGCTTCTTCCAGACTTTGCAATTCCAACTACCAACCTACACACTGAGAATCCAGTAAAAAGGTAACGGTAAAGGCTTCCCTTGCTCGAAAGCCAGTCGAATCCGACTCTAGGGTGCGGTGCTCATCTCCGTTTCCAAGCTGAAGAGCCAGCGCTGTCCAAAGTCGTTTTCGTGGTCACGTGGCCGGCATGACTAAACGCCAAGGTGCACGGAACACTGTTACCTTCCCACCGAAATGATACCTATTTATCTACTTGCAATTTCTTGTTTTTGAACTGCTAGGTTGGCAGGAGCTGGAACTAGAGACGGGAGCTCACTCAGTCATGAGGCACTCGGGTCTTGAACTGCTGAACTACCGACCTTCCGGCCTGCAGTTCAGCGTCTTAACCACTGAGCCACCTCAGCCTCTGAGAATCCAGTAAAAAGGTAAAGGTTCCCTTGCTCGAAAGCCAGTCGAATCCGACTCTAGGGTTGCGGTGCTCATCTCCGTTTCAGAGCCGAAAAGCCAGCGCTGTCCGAAGACGTTTCCGTGGTCATGTGGCCGGCATGACTAAACACCAAGGCGCACGGAACACTGTTACCTTCCCACCGAAGTGGTCTCTATTTATCTACTTGCAATTTCTTGCTTTCAAACTGCTAGGTTGGCAGGAGCTGGGGCCAGAGACGGGAGCTCACTCCGTCGTGAGGCACCCGGGTCTCGAACTGCTGAACTACCGACCTTCCACAGTCTGCAGTTCAGCGTCTTAACCACTTGAGCCACTGCAGCCTCTGAGAATCCAGTACTTCCAGCCAATTGCCTGCGCTTTCATTGCGTAAAGTTCAGTTCTCAACTTATCTTAACCCTTTAAACAAAAACTGCTCTGGGGATTTAGGGTGTGCATGTTTCTTGGTGACATCGCTGGGTGCCAGCCAGCCAGTACTATTCACCATCTCATGACTGCAAATGCGCAGAGCTATGCTGTTTCCCTCTGAGCACATCCCTGAGAGGGAAGGGACCTTTGCATTGAATATAGAAAGGACACTCCCAGCCTGGGAACTACTCCTTTAGAAATCCATGTCCTCTGTGTAGCCCTTGTGAGCTCCTTGTTTTGAACTGGTGGAGGTCTTCAACGTTACAAATGGTCTGAACGCACAGGACAATACAGAAATTTTCTGATGAAGATCAGCTTGAAACAGAGTCTGACTGGCAAATGTTTAAGCATTTTAACTCCTATACTGTCAACTGTGTCCTGCCTTATTCCTGTTGCAATGTCCCTTTTATGTAAATATAGGCTCTAAATATCTGAACTCTATATTGACAAACACAATGGGTTTTTTCAGATTCCCATAAAGTTTACAAACTTTTGAATGATTCCTTTGCTGAAGTAACTGAGAAAGTGGCTAAGTTCCTTCAATCTGTCCTCCTCCTACGCCAAGAAAAAGTACAGTTGTAACCTATTGTTTTATTCAATGAATTTGTAATACAGTGTCCTACTTGTATACTTTTATAATGACTTTGTTCTTCTGATATATGCCAATAAAGGCTGGCTTGACTTGACTTGAACTCCTATACTGTCAATTGTATTCTACTTTATTCCTGTGTATTTATACATCTGTTATTGGTATATATTGAGCTGCGGTGGCTCAAGTGGTTAAGACGCTGAACTGCAGGCTGTGGAAGGTCAGTAGTTCAGCAGTTCGAGACCCGAGTTGCCGCATGATGGAGTGAGCTCCCGTCTCTAGTTCCAGCTCCTGCCAACCTAGCAGTTCGAAAGCAAGAAATTGCAAGTAGATAAATAGGTACCACTTCGGTGGGAAGGTAACAGCATTCCGTGCACCTTGGTGTTTAGTCATGCTGACCACATGACCACGGAAACATCTTCGGACAGCGCTGACTCTTCAGCTTGGAAACGGAGATGAGCACCGCAACCCTAGAGTCGGACTCGACTGGCTTTCGAGCAAGGGAACCTTTACCTTTACCTATATTGGTATATTGAACATTAATTAGCTCGGGAGCTAAGCAGGGTTGGTATTTGGATGGGAGACTATCAAGAAAGACGGGGGTTGCTATGCAAAGACTGGCGATAGCAAACCACCTTTGCTCATCTCTTGCCTTGAAAACCCCATAAGGTGGAATTTTGATGGCACGCCTTTTATATTGAACACGGTTTATAATTGTATGCTTATTACGTGTTTTTCTTATATTCTGACTTCGAGTGGTGTTTCTAATTTGTAATTTACCATACAACCCGATTTTTGATGGGCCCCTCTGTCCTTGTGTACTCACCACCACCCCCGCATTCCTTGCGAGTATATGGCGACATATATTCTTTGCGAGCACATGGTGGCGAAGAGCAAAGGCCTGCAGTGTGCTGAGAGCACAACATGACATACAGCCCAACACAAAATGGCTTACGGCCCGATGGCTTTACACAGCTCTCCTGGCTGGTAGCCCAACCTGCATGGCTGAATGCACAGAACTAGAATGAAAACCTTTACTTTATGGCCATTTCTAATTCTAATTAGCCAATCAGGTGTATGGCGAATGATTTAACCTAACCACCAGAGCAGGGTTGCCAGGTCGTATTCCCCCCCCCAGCGGGGGGATTTGGGGGGCCGTGCTGGGAGGGGCTCCCCCAAAGCGATGATATCACACAGTGCCATCATCACGTCAGGGACACAGCCATGTGCACACACACATACACACACCCACTTTCCTCCAACCATTTAAAGGGAACCTTCCCTTTAATTAGTTGGGGGAAAGCAGGGACCGCTCGTGCCTGCCCTGCAAGCCTTCCCTCCATGCAGGGCAGGCATGAGTGGCCCCCGCTTCATAAGAGCGGGTACCGCTTGCGCCTGCCCTGCAAGCCATGAGATCAGCGCTTGCAGGGCAGGCACGGGTGGCCCCTGCTTTAAAAGTGCAGGTGCTGCTGGTGCCTGTCCTGCAAGCCCTGAGCCGCCAACAACTTTTGCACATATGGCCAACGCCTCTTGCAAACAGCGTCTCTTTAAACACTGTTGAAAGGAGGTGGGGGTGCAGGCGCACGTGGCCACCCCTCTTCCCCCCTCTGCAAGATGGAGGGCCCCTTAAATCTTGTAGTAGTAGTGGATTGCCGGGTGGTCGTTCTTGGGGGTGGGGCTTTCCCCCGCTGCCCAACTGGCTGGTGGCAGGAAGGAGCCCCCCCAAATCGGGACACCCCCGTGGGACGAGGGGATCTGGCAACCCTACACCAGACCTATCACTAAGGCGATGATCTAACAATCAAAAGGGCTTGACAATGAAGCAGGCACCCTGCAGGTATGCTGGGTTAAAATGAACAAACACCTCTCTCCTACTCATGCCCCTTTCTCCTATCGTCTGTCCTCGGAACTTCCAAGCCTAATGGAATGACCAGCAGCTGGGTTATCCCCCATCTCTCTCCTCTATGGTCGAATCGGTGTCCCAGTCTTCTGACTCCTTCTTCAAAAAAACTGTCTACATTTGCTTTCGTTTTCACACTTCAACTGTGCAAGCATATTTTTGCATGTCTGCATATGTTTATCGCCCTCTCGTGCCGGCTCCATTGTAATTGCGCCTCCGCACTGCTTTAAATGAATCTTCTCCAAAGAACATTCAAACAAGCATAGAGAAAGACGGCAAAAAATGCAGATTCGACCTATATCTCTGAAGCTTCTAAGAGCTTGCTCTGTTTCAGAGGAAAAATCTTTCTTTTGCAAGGTCTATTTACCAGGCTGTTTTACTAGGCCAAAAGCCTGACCTAAAGTTGAAGACTTGAACAAGAAACTGCATGTGGAAAACCAGTTTCTTGACAGAGGGTGCTTTTCCTGTGGGATGAAAAATTAATGAAAAGTATCTCCCCTCATTTTACATAGCCTTACTTTTTTCAGTCTGTATTATGTTTAAAGCACCCCCCTTATTATCATTTTTTTAAAAAAAAAAAACCCTCTCCCTGTACTTGGAACATTGGCTTGTCAGAAAGAACAGAAGAACTTAACCTTCTCCAGGTAGGCAGAACTATACTTTGTGAGAAACACAAGCTGAAAGCTCTGGGTAAACTTCTCCCCTGCCCATGTGAAGACATATAATGTTGTGTTCTGACAAGAACACAATGGGCATTTCACAGCCCCACGGGGATGTGAAGTCAAGCAGAGGTGCAAAAATATGCAGTGTGTTAAGATCAGGACCCCGAGAAAGCTTTACTACAGATTACAGGTGGGGAGAAACTGACACAGGGGTGCTTTGGAGGGTGTAAAACCATGTTTAGTGTGCCCCTACAGACTTGTTTATCAGCAGATTTGTCACTTGGGAATTTGTAATGGTTTGAAGCTGTCCTGGCTAAAGACCAGGGGAAACGCCTTTCAGAACTTCAAGTAATTTGGAATTGCAAACAACTCTGTTTCCGAAGTGCTTATGATGGCTGCTCTGTTTCAAACACATATTAGCTTAATTAGGATTTACCCACCAATATAGGATTATTTTATTACAATACTAAATCAGACAAACAGAAAACAAAGCAGGAATTATTATTTGCATTGCAACCCTGTCAATTTTGGAAGCGTGCGGGTGTATACACGCACACACAAATGCACCCATATGTAACATACTTTTCATCTTTTACATTATCTTTTACATTTATATTTTCCCAGTAAAGCATGAAGCAAACCTTGACAGGCAATACAGAATATGCCTAAACAGCCACCTAATTGCTAATAGCTATTTGATTAATGGCTAATAATTAGCATACTAACATAAAATGTTGTGAAGCATGAAATGCGAGTTGTAATTACTGTTTATCTTCCCGCCCCTTTGCAATCTCCCTTGCTAAATTGGTAATTTAGTATCCTCTTTTTAAAAACAACACTAAAAAAAAAACCCTATGCAGCACTTCTGTAAAAATGTATTTAAAAACAGCATGGTTCCTACTTACAGCCCATGTCTTGAATGCATACATAAGTCATCTTCATCTGCAAAGTACCTCATCAACACACGGGGGAGGCCACCGCCTTGACCGCTGATAAGAAAGGTAAGAAAGATCTCCTTTAGAGGGCATTGTCTTCAGGATAATCAACACAGACGATTCAAGGCCTTGTTTAGGATCCTTGTTAAGGATCACAAGATAATGTATGTCAAGTGCTTGGAACAGTTTAGAAGTCCTACAGAAATGCTAAGTGTCATTATTCCGTGTTCAGTACTCAGGTAGATGGTAAGCAAAGCCACGAATTCACATCACAGGCCACTTCTCCCATTTTCTATCAATCTGAAAATGAACTAGTTTGAAACAGAAATGGTCTCAGACGGCAGGAGCAGCTGTATAGCTCTCTCTCTCTCTCTCTCTCTCTCTCTCTCTGCCTCTCATTGTATATCCAAGCCATGATTACTCTTGCTTAGAAGAATACCTTCTTAAATTAAAAAGAAAAAGATGAAGGCCCTTTCAAGAATAATGATCCCGTCCCTGTGTCACTGATGATGGGTAACCCGTAGAGTTGTTTTAATTATTTTTCACCTAAAGAAGCTTTCTGCGTTGTCGTAAAGTCCAGGCGTCAGTTTAAGTGAAGGATAATCGATAGCCAATGGCTTCACGGTAAACAAGGCCATCGCCATGGCAACAAAGATGACAGGTAGCAGAACATTTGATAGAGTCCCTCTCCAGTCTCGCCGGGTGTGACGAAGGCGCTTCATTAGGAGGGCAGCAATCTGCGTGAGAACCAGCCTTGCTCCGCGAACGCTTTGGGCCTCCACGAGCGAATTACCTGTTGCGTGACAAACAAACAAACAGCTTCATGAAAGCAAAGGGTCACGCCCGTAAAGTCAAAGGATTCCCAGGGCTGCCACACCTGCTCATAATTTGTAGAAATTGTTCACGTTTCAAACAAACTGTAACAAGCAGAGAATGTATTAGAGACAAAAGAGTAATCCTTATCTTCTATGACGGCAGGATTGTGTTCCTGAACCAACACCTCTCAGAGCTGCCACCAGGTTTTAAAAATGTGTGTGTGAGCGTCATGCAAATGTCTTTCTTATGGGGACGATTCCCCATTGTGCCCTCACTGTCACTGTGAAATGTAGTGGCATTTGCTGAAGCAACAGAGCATCAGCACAGGGAGATTCTCCATGATATCCCCTTGTGCCTACCATTCCCCCCTCGTTGCCAGATTTTTAAAAAAAGATTGTTAATAGTTATATTGATGTTTTATCAAAGCTGGCAAAAATTACAATAATGGTACGGTGGTAACAGTAAGCACAGAGGGGGAAATGGCACCAGATATGGGTCAAGTGGTTCAAGAATCTGCTTCTTTCCATCCACATGGCAGAGAAATGCACTTTTAGTTTGCTCTTTCTGGAAAGGCTGAAACAAAGCAGGTTTACGAAACATGGAGAATGGCTGGAGGACGGCATCATTTAGAATCATCAGAGGCATCAAACTCATTTGTTATGAGGGCCACATCTGACATAAATGCCACTTTGCCGGGCCGGGCCGCGTGTGCCATAAAACGTAATGCCAGGTACCGGAGATAGAAACTGTATGAAGGACAGCAGCTGGTAAGTTCCGAGTTGGTGTATCCTCACTGCAAGGCCCCCTGGGCTGGGAGGGGGGTGCAGAGGAAAACCCACCTAGGCAGACTGGAGAGCCAGTGGTGCAGCACTGGGCAGATGCTCCCATGATGCTTGACTGCTGCAGACAAGGTTGTTCTACTGTGCTGAAGCCACAGTGGAGTGGCTCCGCCCACTTCCCTCTAGCACTCCATCCCTTGCATCAGTTGCTCGCGGGCCACATAAGAACCCTGGACGGGCCACATCCGGCCCCCGGGCCTTATGTTTGACACCCCTGATTTAGATGCTATGAAAAAACCCCTCCCCAGCCAGGTCTGAGCCAATCCTTCATGTGGAAGCACTTTATTAGAACTCCCAACATCTTCTTTAAGGGAATAACAGTTTAGAGAGGGGATCGTTTTCAGCAGAGACGTGCTGGGGTGTGTACATGTTCGACTTTCCCTTGCCTGCTACATTTCCGCTGCACTGTCACAGCTGCTTTGCTTCTTCTGGAAGCCACAGAGAACGTTTGGGAGCATAAGTGCCTCTGGAATTCCAGGCAGTGGAGGAGCCAGACATAGAGGTGGAGTATGGCAGTAGTATAGACACAGTGGTGGAGTATGGCAGTAGTAAAGCAGTGGGAGGTTAACACACACTGCTGCTTCTCTGCTGAGACATGCCTCTCTCAAGAGCTGCTTATCCCTGGAAGCAACGTAGGATTTTAGCACACACATTTGTGTATAACATGTAGTTTGGGCACTGAGAAACAAGGATTTCAGCCGGCAGCAAAACATAGCAATTATATTTTTCAAAGTCATAAGGGTAAGCTGTTGTGTAGATATATCATTTGCATATAATATAGTAAAAGGTAAAGGTTCCCTTGCTCGAAAGCCAGTCGAATCCGACTCTAGGGTTGCGGTGCTCATCTCCGTTTCAAAGCTGAAGAGCCAGCACTGTCCGAAGACGTTTCCGTGGTCATGTGGCCGGCATGACTAAACACCAAGGCGCACAGAACGCTGTTACCTTCCCACCGAAGTGGTACCTATTTATCTACTTGCAATGTCTTGCTTTCGAACTGCTAGGTTGGCAGGAGCTGGAGCTAGAGATGGGAGCTCACTCCGTCATGCGGCAACTCGGGTCTTGAACTGCTGAACGACCAACCTTCCACAGCCTGCAGTTCAGCGTCTTAACCACTTGAGCCACCACAGCTCCTATAATATAGTAACTGGCCTTATATATGACTGTCATATAAAAATATCATTAGCAATGGGAAGGTTCCCTATGGCTCAGATCATTAGGGGGTCACCAATTGTGAGTATCTCTGTGAACACTAAAATGTGAAAAGCTCAGGAAGGGTATAATTTTTACCCGGTGGGTGAGAGGCTACCTGTTTTCCTTCTAACTGCCATGCATTAGCTTTGGTAAAGGCCATACCCATGGCATGCATACTTGGGGTGTTATGTGACTTTTATAACTTTAATATGCACATGTTTTTTAGATGTCTGTATTATAAGGTGCTGGAGAAGACTCTTGAGAGTCCCTCGGACTGCAAGAAGATCCAATCAGTCAATCCTAAAAGAAATCAACCCTGACTGTTCCCTGGAAGGCCAGATAATGAAGTTGGAGCTCAAATACTTTGGCCACCAAATGAGAAGGGAGCACTCACTGGAGAAGACCCTGATGCTGGGAAAGACTGAAGGTCAAAGAAGACGGGGACGGCAAAGCATGAGATGGTTAGACAGTGTCATCGATGCAACAACATGAAACTGAGCCAACTTCAGAGGACGGCGGAAGACAGGAGGGCCTGGCGTGACCTGGTCCATGGGGTCGCAAAGAGTCAGACTCGACTGTGCGACTGAACAACAACAACATTATAAGGTGGTGCGTAATAAAATCACTCCGCTGGCTGAACAAATTCCGGGTCTTTCCGAAAAAGCTAGACTCGAGTTTCTTCTATCTGATAGAAACCCCAAAATTACCCACCAAGTAGCCAGTTTCTGTATGGTGATACTCAGATCACAGAACCTCTAAGGTAGCTAGTTAGATATAGTTGTTTGATATTAGATTAAATTTTAATTTACTTTTAATGTGTCACTGATGTATCGTAACATCTTGGGATATTGTAAAGGTGTCCTTCTTTTTGTATGACTGGTCTAAGGACTGTAGAAATAAATAGATTGATGTAACTTTAATAATTTGATTGCTGAACTCAGGATATGGAATTATTCTGAAAGCTACATTCTCATTTACAAAACATTCAAGCCAGGATAATCTCATCAAATCCAAGAACAGAGTTAAAGACAATTGATTTCTGAACAAGAGTCAGTGCCAGATACCAGCCTGGATCACCGAGTCTGATGGAGACCAACCACGCAGGCATGAACGTGGCCACACCCTTCATAGCCTCTGAACCTGGGATCACTCCCACCTGCCATCCTTTCATGTACCTGCCTCACCCCTCTTTCACTGAAATCAGGATAGGCGTACGTGGCTCTCCCTTCCCTGTTTGATCTCCACAAGACCCTATGTGAGACACGGTAGATTGAGCACGTATAGCAGGATCACACCACCCAGGGAGCTTTGTGACTAAAGGAGGACTTCAGCCTGGGTCTTCTCTAAAAACTACACTGCCCCATACCCAGAAAAGTTTAGTTAGGGGGTATTTTAGTACTGTGGAGCTGACTACATCACAGGGTTGTTGTTATTACGGAAATAAAGAGGAGGAGAGACATGGCTAGGTAAGAGAATGCAAGAAGTAATTTTGAAAAAAGAGGAAGGGAGCGCTTTGGGGGCACATTTTCCTCCCTGGCTCCTTTTTGCAGATAGAGGTCAAGAGGCCCTGGCAGGAGGGGGGAGGAGCAGCACCTGGGGAGGTTGGAAATAATAAAGAAGGAGCTGGGAGAGCCCCCCGAGGTTTTACAGACACAACCTAGTTCCGTTGCCAAATCTATTTTATTTATTTGAATATTTATACTCTCCTTTTCTCCCTGAAGAGGGTCAAAGAGGGTCGCAGCTGCCAAAGAAATAAATCAGCCAACCAGCATCTAAAGAAAACAAATGCCTGGGGCTGGTCCAGGATTCCACAGAAGATACACGCTAGGAGACCTGCAGGCAGAAACAAGGGGCCGAGAGCCCCTCTCTCTCTTGCCCATACTCAACGGCTCCCCTGTTTAGCCATGCCCAGACCGTACACCTGCAACAGGAGGGGGAAGGAAAACGCTCAGTGAGAAGACACAGCTGGCCCAGATGTTCCTTCCACAGTTGTATCTCAACAGAGTAGGTGAGAGAACTGAGTCCGGAGCTTGAGATCGGGACTGGTGCCTTTTGTCCTTTTGCAGTGCAGCTTTCCTCACAGGCAGGCTGACCCACTTTGCCCAGCTGCTGCCTTGCCCAGCGCCTTTCCCGGCTCCTGCCAGCGGAGCCTCCCACAGGCTGGCAGGTTGCAGGAATGGGCCATGCTGGGTAGGTGGGGGGGCAGGTGCAGTTTGGCGCCCCTAAGGACCGGCCCACTCTAGGCGAATGCCTAGTTCGCCTAGTGAGCGAGCCGGCCCTGGAGGCACGTCTGTTCCGGGAGGGTGCCAGGCTGTTTTGGGAGGATGCCGATCACTTGTAGGCACCCCCATGCATATGGGCCTGCAACTACACTGCATAGACTCTCCAGTGCCAGCGTACACAACCACCCACCCATATGGTTCCCAACTCTCTGTAAAACTTTACCCCACTAATTCCCCTAACTAGTCACCCTGATTCACTGTTCCCTCAACAAAGTGCTTTATGCTCGTAACAGAAATTGACAAAAAAAAAAAAAAAACCGCTGCAGTCACACACACAACCACTAATGCAGTCACACACACTAAAGAATCCACTTTCAATCCACTTCCCAACTGGACTTTGCCGTGTGAACTGGCAAAATCCAGTTGGAAAGTGCACTGGAAGTGGATTGAAAGTGGATTATTTAGTGTGTGTGACCGCAGCTCTCAGTTCCTCCTCTGGGATAAGGGGGGGAAATTGTCCCGCAGGACAGTCCTGAAGATGAATGAGACAACCAGAGTTTTTTCCACACAAAAGAACCACGAAGAAATGATGCTGTAGGCCATAACAACATCTCCTTCAGCAGCAGTGGCAGCCTTTCACAACACTGACTCGGCAGAGGAATCTGTTCTTTCTCGAGGATTATCCCTTCTGTTCTAAATCCATGATAACAGTTCTGTGGGGACTT